CGTGGCCCCCGCCCGGGCGCCGCCTCGCGTCTGCCCCTTGGGTTTCCCTGCCGCCCCGCCCCGCCCCGCCCAGGTGTCGCCTCCGGCCTCGCAGATCCCCTACGGCTCCCTCCCCACGCCTGGGCGCCCACACTGGACCCACAGGCCACCTAGGGGTGCTCCTTACCGAACCCCACTCCCCCCGCCTCAGTTTCCCCAGCCGGGCCCCTCCAACGCCCTTGTGAACCCAGCCCGGATGCGGCGTTTCCCGAACACCTACTAAGTGCCTGGCCCTTCTGTGAGCCTCCTGGTGAAATCCGACTCACCTCTCCTTAGCAGGGGCTGAGTCTGACGCCCCCGGGGGCGCCCACTGCCCTGGTCTGACGGTAGCCCCAGCCTCCCTGACCCTCTGGTTCTTGGGTCCTGCGGTCCCCAAGTCCGCCCCTCCCCATCCCGTGCCGCTCCCTCAGGAGTCCGGAAGTTGGGTTTGGATTCTGCGTGCGTCCTGGGAGCCCCGTGGCTCCCCAAGAGGCTCCGGACGGCGTCACCCAGTGTCCCCCAAACCCTCCACCCCATGCTGCCCCGGGAGCCTCCGCCACCAAATCCAGGGTCTTCATCTGTTGTTTTGTTTTTTTTTGTTTGTTGTTTTTTTGAGACAGAGGCTCACTATGTAGCCCAGGCTGGCCTCGAACTTGTGGTGATCCTCCTGCCTCAGCCTCCCAGGTGCTGAGATTACAAGTGTGTGCCACCAGGCCCTGCTGGAGGTCCTCCTTGGGCCCAGGGCTCCCCATCTGGACTTACCTATGGCTCCATCCCTCTGCACTGTGTGGCCCTGGGCAAGTGGCTCTGCCCGCTAAGCCTCGGTTCCCCCTCCCGCCTCCACCCTGCCCTGGCCGTGTTGTGACGTCAGCTTGCAGTTTATACCACAGGCCTTGCACACAGCGGGTGCGCAACTGGAGCGCCGGGACAGGCGGACAACCCCTCAGCCGCGTCACCGCCCACGCGGGGCGGGCTCCAGAGTCTCAGTTATCTGCTGCGGCCTTCTGGCCAGGGCCAGGCCGCGTCCTCCGCCGGGCGGCTGCAGATGCGCTGGCATCGCCGGCTCCGAGGAGCTGGCCCCAGCTGAGGGCGGCTCCAGGCAAGTGCAGTCTCAGTCACAGTCACAGAACTGCCGTCCTCCGGGCCCCGGGCGCTGCGCCCCCGTGTGCGGCTCACGCACAGGCTTCACTGGACCGGTGAGGACCTCTCCCCAGTGCTCCGCACCGCAGGGGCCAGGCGCAGTGCTCCGCCGGCGACCGGAGGACGCCCCTCGGTCCGGGTCCAGCCAGGCCCAGCTCCTGGTCCTGAGCCCCAGGGGACTGCTGGGCTCCTGGGACAGTCGCGCAAGTGGCAGCCAGGCCACGTGATGGCCAAGATGGGGTGCGGGGGGCGGGGCGGGCG